TATTATTTCAAATAGTTTATAGCTGAGGAAAATTACAATCAATGAATCATCTGCTCAATGATGCCCAAGTGGATATTGCTAAGCCAGGATCAGAATGCAGGGCAATTTGTCTTTGAAGCCTAAATTCCTGACAAGTACATTTCTGTTCCTACGCATGCAGTTTTGTTATTCTCGATGTTGTTCTCCAACAACACCATGGATGACGTAGAGCCCTGCTGGGTACTAGAGAGAGGAGACAAAAGAAACATCCTATTCAATTCAAACAAGCTGGAGGTCCTTCTCCTGGCAAATCCCTGTGTCTCAGGCAAGACTACTTCCCTTCAGACCCTTGCCTCTAACTCCTTCATTTATAATAATAGACTTAGATAATATTGATAAAGAGCCTACTTTTTATTTGGGCAAAGCAGATACAGCAGTAAACAGAAATATCAAAATGCACGTACATCAAATTCTTTGGATGCAGACCGTAAAGAAACAAACAAAATAGAATGTCAAGTTGTGAAAAGTTCTATGGAAAATACAACACACATAAAGAAATAAACAGTAACACAACATATTTAGTGAGTCCAGGAAAATGCAAAATAATTATTTTAGAAAACAGTCACTGTTTTCAAGAACTGTGAGACAATTACAAATGGTATACCATACGTGTATTGGGAATACCAGAAAGGAAAAAAAATAGAAACAAAAAAACGAAATATTTGAGATAATAATGGCTAAGAATTTTACAAAATTAATCACACTAAACCACAGATTCAGAAACCTGGCTTGATAAGGAAAAAATCACATTTTCAATTCTAAAAACTTAGAAGCAGACTGATAATTTTGCAAACCCTGACATAGATTTCACATGCTTGTCAACTTCAACAAGTCTCAACAAAGAGAAATAGGAGTCAAAGGACTCCACTGACTTTCATACAGTTCTAGAGTAAAATCATCAAAAAGTTACAGTAAACCAAAAACAAAAGTTTTATTCAGCATCTGTTCAAAGAAGCAAAAGTAGGAAATGGACAAGCATGCAGCCAGAGCCATGTCTGTCCGAGTCCAAAAAATATTACAGAATAAACAAAAGTGGGAAAACGGAAAAGCATGCTGCCTGAGCCATGTCTGCTTGAGATCAAGGAATGTTACAGAATCTCAGTATATATTAACATTACAAATGGGTAAAATCATTGAAAGCGTCACCTTTTCACAGATTGGCTAAAAACTACCAAATCACCATGATCTTACATTTTGAATTATTTTTCTTAATAATCAGTGGTACAGGTTTCAGTAACATTAGGTCTTCACTGGTCTAAAAAATCCTACTATTCACTAAATGCTAATAGAAAAAGGTAAGAGTGGAAAATATGTAGGTCTTTAGTGCTATTTATGATTCGTTTATGTGAAAGATTCCCTGAAGATGTTTTCCAGGATTGTCCTAGCTACTGTCTTTATACCTCAGGGCCCAGCTGGTGTACCCGTGAGTCCTTGTGAGTCCAGCTCCAGCTAGGTCACATTTTTTATGCTCAAGGACAGGGAATAATGGCTCCAATTTTATCTCCAAAATCAGTACCCAGAAAAGGGAAGATACACTGCTTATTCCCAGAAAACACATGGTCATCACTAATAGGCTAAACATATAAATTTAGGACACTAAAAAAATAAAGCAGAATAAATAAATAGTAAAAACCCACTGCCATCAAGTCGATTCCGACTCATAGCTACCCTACAGGACA